TGAGAGAGAGAGAGAGAGAGAGAGAGAGAGAGAGAGAGAGAGAGAGAGAGAGAGAGAGAGAGAGGAAGAAGAAGAGGACCTGTCGCTGTGCTTACAATACTATACTACTACAGTATTTGTCTTCTCAAACTCAATGTTTAGCAATTTCCATTCTGTGATATTTCCTTTTCTTGTGTTTTCCTTTGATGTTCCGTAGAAAAATGACCAAATTTATGCATGCTTGAAGTGAAGACATTATTTTTTCCCCACTTAAGTTTTAATGCTCTCAATAATGGCCTTTCATGGGATCTTTTACGCATCCTTTGAGGGTAGTGCCTTTTTTCATTCTTCACTTTTTTATTTGTATCTTTTGACATTTTAAAACTTTTTTTTCTCACTTTGACAGATACAGTACTATCATACGCCTTTAAGTGCATATTGCAGCGCATTCAAAGCAGTATTGATTCAATAATAAAACTTTATTAACCCTTTTTAATTGTGTGTAGTTTGAAGTTTGTCTTGTTCATTTTACGATAGCTGTATAATTTTGCAGTTCCTCGTTTTAGGTTTCTGATTTTTAGAAAACCCTCCTGCCTCTCCCAGTTGAATGGTGGGTGGTCGGCAGGTGCTCTGGTGTGGTTTGCTTCTTCTTTCCTAAAAAACATCTATCGTCCTTAAATCTCTCCTTTTTTTGTGTTTGTTACTCTCTTGTAACACCTCTAATCTTCGGCACTTATGACCTTATTGTGTTGCAAGTGCCATAAAACACTAAAACTAAACCAGTTGGATGAAGTAATGTTAGACCAGAGAGTTTGGTTAGACCCCATCTCACACAGCTGGATTTAGTGCACAACCTCTGGGGTCATAGTGGGGTCGCAGTTATGTCGCGTATGAACAGTAAACAGCTCACTCACATGTCACTGAGATTGTCATGATTGCATAGAAATGAGGAGGGGAGGGGGTTATAGTTTACTTTTCCCCACAGTTCATTGTATTGTATTCCTTTCTTTTTTCCCCCCTGCCTGAATGGATTGTGGTATAGCGACGAGGCGATTCGCTGTCAAAAACTGGAGACCTCAGTTTGGTACCGAAATGGGGAGAATTATTATCGAGAACATGATGTATTTTGGTCTTTATGCTGAGATGTTGTATCCATCTCAGGCCGGGTTGGTCCTGACAGGCAGGGTCAGAGGCCCACCTCATAAATGATAAAAGATCCAAATTGTGTCGATAGGGGCAGAAAATGCCAACATTACTTTTTTTAGTTAGTTAATTTAGTAGAGGTTCTATTTTTATGGCACCCGCAACTGCATAAGGTCATATGAGTGCCAAGGGGTGGATGTCAACAGAGAAGTCCTTACAGGGAATCAGGCTTACTCTGCGTACTTCTCCAGCTTCAACAGCACAAAGTCTGCTTTTACTATCAAAGCACCCCGGGAATAGCGAGGGATGTGGATGTAGTGATGTTGATAATCTGGCAATCACTGCATCATGGACTATGTAATTGTAATGACTTTCTCAAATTTGCTAAATCACAGAACCAGTTTTAATCAGTAACAGGCTATCATGATGCATAGTATTGGCATCCAACACAGGGATGCTTTGCCGCAAAACGCTCTAATAACAAAAATTTGTTTCCAGATCTTATCCTCCAGTATCATGTCCGGCATTCAAGTTCAATAAATTGCATATATCTAACAAAGTTTTTCTTTTTTACTCCATGACTAAAAGAAAAAACAAACCAACACATGTCTTAGGTTTGAAATTTGGTACAAACAGTTTATTTACAGGTGGAGAAGAAGTTGCGGCACATAGCTTTCTGCAAACAACAGACAGACAATCATTTAGACCTAACAACATCTCCACTTTCACTTCACTTCAGAACTTGGCAAATAAAAACCAATTTCAAGAAAAACAGCCAACGCTCGGAAACAAATCTCTCACAACTGGTTGCAGAACGAAACCAAAAGCCCCAAGCTGAGGCCACGCACAAACTACGACTAACTAACAATGTTTCCATTTCCTTCGCTGGAGCTTTCAATGAACAACATATCAGCGACATATCGGAGACATATCAACAACATATCAGCGACATATCGGAGACATATCAACAACATATCAGCGACATATCGGAGACATATGAACAACATATCAGCGACATACTTCATACGTATATTTTATCAAGAACCCACATATCAATATTATCATTACAGTAGCTGCACAGCATGCTCTCACATAGGTCTATATCCCGTGTCCACCCTGAGATTTATACAATTTGATGATAAGCCAATCATTCAATATTTGTGTCACGACGTCGTTCAATATTTGTGTCACGGCGCGGTGGAATCAGGCGCTCATCAATTTTTGGACGTGGGGAGTTAATGGTACCATCTTAAAGCTTGTTCATTTGTCTTGCATTCGATGAAGAAGAAAGACCCAGCTATCTTGAATACATGAGATATTTCAGATTGAAGAAGGTGGGGGTCACCTGGTTTCAGAGGTAAAATTATCGAGAAATTGGCAGCCAAATTTTGGTAGCTTCATAGCATGAGAGTCCTTGAGAAATGAAAATTCACATTTTTGTGCCTTTAATGAACGTTTTCAGTAAAATCTGCACAAGAATTATGTTTTAAAATAAAAGGTATTGAGCCAAAAATTTTAAAATTCGATAATAATTGCCAAAACCGACTGAAAATGCTGTTTTCTGTCATTTCATTAATTTGACGAGTGCCTGATTTCACCACGATGCCTCACATTTCTATTTGTCAATCATCAACATAGCTCTTCCATCACACCCATACAAAACAAGCGAGTCGCTCAACCCAAGATCATAACCACATTGCCATGCGATTCAGTTCTAAGAAGTGTAGCCTTACACAAGTAACATTTCTTTTAAAAACTTCCTTCTTCTCAACCTCAACCAGAAACTCAAATTAATGCCACAACAGTAAACAAATCATGTCATAAAAATTTGTGTCTTGTGATCTATATTATATATATACACATACGCAAAAACTATGCAAGTTTAGAGAAAAAAAAACCCATAAAGATAAATCAAAGCTTTCCAAACGCTAAGTAAAGATAATGTACACCAGATCCTTAGCTCATACAGGTTTGACAAACGCGACCAAGCTAAGACTATGAGTAAAAAGTAATGATAATGATAATATATCGTGTGAGACAATAAAATAGTCGGAAGCAACCGGCAATGCTACACGATGCAGTATGAGAGGTGGTGGTGGTGGTAAACATGTAACTAAATGGATACTGACTGCTATGACTAACTCTATGTTTAACTAAGTACGTGAAATTCGAGTGAAAAAACAAAACAGAACAAAAATGATAACAACAAAATAAAAAACCTCATGAATATGGCAGTCCACTTTGACATGCAAAACGTAAGTCTTGTAAAATATTATATGTACCTATTTTTCACTACGGTTTCGAATTTTTAAATACTTTTTTGGTACTGTCAGAAAGAAGTAAAAGGTCTGATACCTGTGAATATACACATGTATTCAGTATATATATATATATATAGTCACCAAAATCAGACGCTATAGTACTTCCAGCTTATATTCTCTGGAAAATCAGTTAAGTGCAAGTCTCATTGGGCAGGTATTTTTGCCTTTGTTTAAAAAACAAACAAACAAAAAACAGAAAAGCATTACAGCATTACAGCACACCCACAAACACAGACACGCTAAAACACCAAGAATGTACTAAAACAAAGGATGATAAGAAATGATATGCATCACAAAGCAGAGTGAACTTCAGCTACTACAATTTGGAAGCCTTAAATCAAGCAAAGGCTTTTTTTAACAGTCAATTCATAATTCCAGGGAGTGTGTCAATACAGCATATTATTATGAAAGTTATGAGGTGCCTTGCAGTATTCTGACAGAAATACAAAGCTACCAAAAATGGACCATGATACAATATAAACTTGATTCCAAGACTGCTTCCAACCTTCGCCCTTCAGTCAATTATCAGTCAGTTCTATGCACAAAACTTACACAAATATATATATATATACACACAGGTGATAATAATTCAGTATGACTGCTAACCATCATACATGCATGTATGCGTGCATGCTCACTCGTCCACACCTTTCTCTACCACAAATCTCTCATCTCGTAACATTTACATTGCTGCCACACACTAGAAGAGGACAAACATGTTCAACTTATATTTCATTTTGAAAATCTTATTTATTATTATCATTATTATAATTATTACAAAATTATACATTATTAATGTGACTCTGCTTTGGCAGTCTGTAATCTAAATTTCAAGAATAGACAAGTGGAAAAACTTTGGGCTTTTGCAGCCCCTGTGTCACGTGTGTGTCATAGTTACTTTCTCTGGGTAACAGGGACAGAGGAGAAAAGAAAAGTCGTGCCATGAAATTTAATACTTTAAAAAATGTATGTGCATTTTCACGCCTCCATCCACACAATTTAGATCATTTAGGAGGTGGGTTTTGACCCTGTCTTTTATTTATAGGGCCAACCCGAGCTGAGAAGGCTGCAACATCCCAGAAGAAAGACTGTGATACTCGATAACTAGTTATTCTCCCCACTTGAGAATTGAACTAGGGTCTCCTGCATGCGACAGCCAAGCACCTAACGGCTACATCACAGACACCAGTGCCCTGATCACAGCGAAGTCTAAGCTCCAGGACTGGTTGTTTATAGTTTTAGTTAAGAATTTTACGCCACTTGCAACACATAAACGTCATGTATAAATACTGAAGATTAAAGGTGTTACAAGAGATTAACATATAAAAAGAAAAGGAGGAGAGACAAGGATGTGAAGATATTTTACAGCAAAGAAGGAGCAAACCACACGGGAGCACTCAGCAATCATCTACAAGCCTGGTTGGACCAGGAGAAACACGTACGCACATGTATTCACACATATATCATTGCCTCAGAACTATTTTGTCCAAAGTGCCTCTTTATTTAAATTACACTTTGGACAAAATAGTTCTGAGGCGACGATATAAATACAGTCCACCCAGCTCTCATGGCCACCTTATATATAAGACAATCGCCTGTACAAACAGCCACTCTCCATCTCCCCAACCCTTGCGTATTTTTAACATCCTAATGACACTGTGTAAGACGTCCACCTGTCTAATTTTATTTATTTATTTAGTAGAGGTTTTACAGCACTTGCAACTGCATAAGGTCATATGAGCGTCACCACCTGTCTAAGACAATAATCACTTTTCCCCTCAGCAATGAGAGGCCATTTTCGACAATTTCGACTGTATACATGTAATTGTATACATCATATATATATATATCCCGGCCTACGTTATATCTGTCACAAAATCAAAACATTGGAGTGCATGACTTTTTTGTTTTAGTGAGAGTAAAGAAAAAAAAAGTCTCATCCCCTAAACGAGTTTTGACAGCATGACATAAATGATGCTGTAGCTGAAAAACAGTTTAAGAAGACAAGTCAGGATGATAATGATATTGCATCTGGACAGAATACATCAGAGCTCCACCCCCCACCCCACCCCTTCCAAAGATGAGAATATCTTAACAGAAATCAACTTCAGATTAGTATGTATTTGTCAGTTAGTCAGAAGTGAAAAATCATAGCCTAAGGAACCATAGTTATCAATTTGTATAAAATAAAACCTCTCATAAACATGCAGCTTTTTTTTGGTCACATTTTTTAATCCTCTTTCGTGAAACAAAGAATGAACAACGCATAAAAGAACAAACTGCAGCATTAAAACGAATCGGAAAATAACCAAATGCACCAAACCATACTGATTTACCTCTAACAGTCACCATCACAATCCGGTCAATGAGACTTCCCTTGTTCAGACATCGCTTCAACCATCGCCTCACACATCCCTCATCACAGAAAACTCATTTTCAACCTACATCCACACGTTCATGAACCACAGAGGAGTTTGCTTCAACCAAAATATGCGGGACTGCCGGATTTTTTTTTGGTTTAGCCAGGTTTTCGATTTAGAAAAGTTGCTCAAATAGAAGACGCAGGAAAAAAATTTAGGAATTTTCTTTTCTTTCGGATTAACCACGCTCAGTTGAAACGGATTCCACTGTACTCGCAGAATCTGATCTATTAAAGAAGCCGTGCAAAGCAAGATCACAGAGAAACATTCGAGGTACAATCTCACACACACACAAAGAGATCCTGTGGGCTAAGGCACTGGGGCCATGTCTAGAACATTTACAACAATGTCTACATATGATATTGTGATGTAATCAATCAAGAGCGAAATTGTCCCAATTTCAACTTGCCACGACAGACCTCCAACGTAGCTGGCTCATCATGTCAGAAAGAAGGCAAGGCCTCAATACATTACACACAGCTGCCTGTAGATAATTTAAGGCCTCTATACATTAAACAAAGCTGCCTATAAACAATATGTGGCAAATTCCATTATACAAAGAAGGAGGGAAATTTGTGGGTTATGAAATATGAATAGGTTCTCTTGTCCCAACCTTAGACAACATCCAACCCAGACACACACACACACTCACGAAATAAATGCTACACCGAGCGCGAAAAGGCAACATGCCCTTGGCATTGGTAGTAATCACATCTGACTACTTTGTGGAGTGGAAAATAGAAGGGTTTGCACCACAGGTTTCACAAGACTCAACACATTGACCCCAGAATTGACTGACTTCCGTGGGTTGACGAAACTTGACTATGTTTCGCAACTCGACTCGACTAATTTCACATTTGCTTCTATTCGAGACAAAGAACAGATATAGTTATCAATCATATAGGACAAAGGAGTGTAACTTCCTTCCGAGAAGTTTCCTACAAAATTTTGTTCGCATACATAGCTGTTTGGATGTGAAACTCCTTAACATTATAATTATTATATATCTATGTAAATCACATCAGTCACTGAGACTGGTTGCTCGTCATTTTGGGTAGAAGCTTCAGCCGCTCTAAGGCACACCGGCAACATGAAGGCCAAGGCAAGGATGTTAAATCATATAGCTTTCATTCCCCCCCCCTCCCCCAAAAAAGAATAAAAATAATAATAAAAGAAAGAAAAATTGTTTTTCAGCAACATCAGTTCTGTCCATTACTTGTGTCTTTTCTCTGTTTGAGTAAACACATCGTAGAAGCATATGGACACAATAACAGTCATCTAGTGCAGGAACAAAGTAAGATGGATAGACAGAAACGACAGAGGGAAAGAAAAGAAGTAGGACTTACAACTGGTGCCCGCCTCCAACCCCCCCCCCCGGTCCCGGTATCTTCTTCACTATTAACCAACTTCACACCACAGCATTCATCCTCCAAACAAACAGGGACACCCATGTGCACACACAGCATTCTCGGACACACGCACACACACAAACATCACTCTCAGACACACACACATACGCACACCACTCTTGGAATACACACACACACGCACACCACTCTCAGACAAACACACACACCACTCTCAGACACACACACACACACCACACACTCAATGTTTGAGAACAGGCGAGGTCCAGACAGCGGAGCTGGTCCTCTTCTTGAACCGGTACTTCTTCACCATGGGGAACAGCAGCTCCAGGTTGGGGGCGTCGATGTGCTGTGTGCGGAAAATGGCCTCCACGTCAGGGGGGTTGGAGAACTGTTGGATGATGGCGATTCGCAGCTCATTTCCTGTTGGGGAAGGGGGACCATGTGGGATAGAGAAGAATAAAAAGGTCACAACGGGTCAGTGGAATAAAGGGGGGTTGCAGGGATTTATAAAACAAAGAAGAAGCCAAACACATGGGTGAGAGAGAAGAATAGGTCATATCGGCTCACAGCAGAGTAGTCAAAAATTCTTTTTTTTTTAAAAAGGAAAGAATTTTTTTTTTTTAAAGAAGTTTTTTCAAAAACATGTAAGATCAAAGACAACAATATTTCTCTTAGACAATGGGTGGCTGTCTTACACAATTTCAACTGTACTATAAATTGTAAGTATCCTCTTCATTCCGATAACGGAAGACACAAGGGTTACCAAAAGCACTGATGTATATGTGAGTGTATGTTGCCTGCTGTGTGAGAAAGTGTGTGTGTGTGTGTATGTGTGTTGCCTGCTGTGCATGTATGTGGTGGTTTTGCATGCTGGGGTTGAAAACCCACCTAATGCCCACTCAGGGATTTTCTTCTTGGGCGCGTCGTCGTCGTCGGTGGAATCGTCTGAGCCCTTGTCGTCGATATCGTAGTTGTCAGGGTTGGGGCTGGGTTTGTACACCTTCTTCTTCACTGGCGTCATGTCGTAGCTGTTGCTGCAACACACGAGCGGGAAAAAGAGGAAGAAAAACAAATTAATACAATGTTAGGTAAGAGCTTTTAAGTTGTTGTGTAAGTTGGTTTGACTGTTCTAAAACATTTGCTTTCATAGTATGGTGAAATCATAGACAGTATAACACGGATAGCTCAAATTCGTCGGGACCAGCCTCAGTAGTTTGAGGGATACGTGAACAGTGTTATGGCATCGGCTGTGTCAGAGAATCAAGGAAAGCAACAAAGATTTCTACTTTGGGGGCAAAATGATAGATTGTGTGATGCACACCTGTTCCCCTCGGCCACTCCATACAAACTTAGTCTAGCTAGGCCTAGGGCCTAGGCACGCGTGTCGAGCAGCGCACTAAAAATAGCACAGCTAGCTGCTTCTGTGGAGGGGGGAAGGTAGTATTTTATCGACCTTGCCTTTTTCGGTCAAGTACTTTTTAAAATGATTATTTTGTCTCAAGTTCACCTCAAAGGACATTGACTTTAGACTTCTACGACGGCGTAATTAGTTCGACTATTCCATGTTTGTGTTTGAGCTCCGCGTAATTTTCTTACAAAGATAAAGAAGAAAAAGACTGGGACTCAAGCACAGCTCGACGGATGCGTGACTTTGAGTCTTCTGTGTTCGACCTATCCGGGTTATACAGCAATTTCCCCTGACACCACAGGCTATTTATTAGCGACACTTGAAGGGTTTTAAGAATATTTGAAATCACAGAATTTGTGGCACACGACTCGTGATTGTGAGGTTGTGAAATCGGGGGTTCGAGTCTCAGGCCAAATGTTGTGTCTTTGGGAAAGGCATTTAACACAAATTTTCCCCACTTCACCCAGGTGGGAATGGGTACCCGACAATATAGGCAGCTAAAGATCTTGACAGTATGTTAGTGTTTTAGCCCCTATAAAATGTTAGCTTGCACTGTTTGCTTTCCAAAAAGTTGAGGTTCTTTCAGAATTGTCTCAGGTCTGCTGGGGTAATAATATAGATTGTTAAGCTGGCTGTTGAGCGTGAATTTGCGCTGTACAAATGTCATCTAATATCATTATTATCATCATTTTTGGACAACAGAACCCAAGTCCCACCAGAACTTAGACAGGAAAAAACCAACCTTTTGTCAACAGAAGTGTTTGAAGCCAGAGTCTGGGTTGTGTTCAGAGCAGGGGCAGGCGCTTTGTTTAGAGTGGCGTTGTGTTTGTCAATCATTTGCTGCAGCTCGGCCATCTCCTTCTGGTTCTGGTGGGCCTTCTGAGAGGCCATCTTGTTCTTCTGTTGCCGTTCTTTCTCCTGAAATTGACAACAACAGCCCATCATGTTTCGGCTGCAAACTACAGCAACATGTTGACAAATCTAGAAAAGACCTCCCAAGGGGACAATTAATAGCCTCACCAAAATTTTAAAGGCAGAAAAATTAAACATGTAAGGAAGACACAAAAGGAAAAAAAAACGCTTAAAGAGGAACTTTTTTCTCTCTCCAATTTTGATGCACTCTCCAACCCCTTTTCACATGCGGACCACACAAACGTTTTGTATTTCATCAAGTCAAGTGGAACTCAATCTGAGTAGTCAGTGTACAGTAGAGAAACAGAACTGAATGCAAATATGATATATCATTTAATATTAAAAACATTATATCGAAATAAAATAAATACAGAAGCTTATTCTTTTTGGACATAAGTGCAGGAACAAAACAAGCAGAAATTGAGAGATGGAAAACGTTTTATTCTGTTTGCAGAAAATCCAACGAAATTTGTTATCTTTTTAGCTGTTCCAACTTTTACATCATATATGCTTATTTTCTCGTCTCATGAACACTGAGCATTCCGGGGAAATGCACTGACAGAAATACGGTCAAGAATGTAACAAAAAGTCTAGTTAGCCTGACAGTGTCACTCACCATTGCTTTCAACTTTTCCATTTCCTCCCTTATCTTCCGTTCTTTTTCCTCTCTCTTTTCCTTTTCCACTCGTTCTCTCTCAGCTCTCTCATTGGCCATTTGACGATCCCTGGGAGAGAGAAGCATAATAAGGACAGTTTAGATTTAGTTAGAGTTTTACAGCACTTGCGACACAAAAACATAAGTTAGTCATATAAGTGCCGAAGACTAGAGGAGTACTAAACAGTAACATACAAATAAAAGAAGGAGCAAAGATCAGGACGACAGAGATGTTTGATACGAAAAAGGTAGCAAACCACACCAGAGCACCCGCCAACCACCCTCATGGTGAAATAGACAGACAGAAACAACAGAAGGAAAGAAAAGAAGTAAGACATTCCAAACACCCACTGAAAAAGTCAACACAGCAAGACAGAATTGGACACAGCTAAAAGTAAAAATATAACACGTACATGCGTGTGCATGAAGCACTTTCCACTCCCCAGAGAATGCACATTAAACTCGCAATCAGACATTCTTTTCAATCTGTGCATGTGTAATCTTTTTTTAAAATTAAACGTTCCTTAAATATACGGAAAACTGACAAACTTGGTAATCCTTATTATTATATAGTGGGAAAAAAGTAACAAACAAGATGAGTTTGGGGATGGAACACAAACTAAAAATTGGTTTAAGAAAGATAACACAACCCCCCCCCCCCCCCCCTTAAAGTAGTAAACAGGAATAAAACAAAGACAAACACCCCCCCCCCCCCCATAGCAGTTAAGTGCACACTTTAAAAAAGACACTGGCTAAAAATTACCTTTTTCAATACAAAAAAATTCACGACAACCCTGTCTTGAGTACCATGACTAGAATAATCATTTGCCAGACCACACATATTACGATATATTTAAGTCCCGCAAATGTTTCCTTCTTTCTCCTGTCCCTACCACAGACAATACCCATACTGCAGCAAAGAAAAAGGGCTGAAGACCTCACCATTTTTAACCCTATCCTATGTCCTGTTTTATATCATATCCATACGACACGCGGAACTCTGTGCCACCACTTTCCAAAGAGGAAATTTACTCGTTAATCTGATCCGTACGCTTTGAATAGCGATTTGTCAAAATGACTTTTTGAGAAATACTGAAAGTTTCAAAGAGATCTTTGTGCGAGAAGTATTCTAAAATGTGAAGAATACAACCCCGGAGGTACAAAATGACCCCAGGGCGTACGGATAGGGTTAAACATGACATTGGGCCCAAGGGCAAAAGCTCAAAGCCTACTGAATTAACAACAGCAACAAAACAAATTTTCTGCAAACACCACTCACTTTTCTAGTCTGATCCTCTCTCTCTCTCGTTCGCGTTCCTCCTCCTGTTTCTTCAACCTTGCCAAATCCTCCAGACGTCTCTGCTCCAGCTCAGCCTTCCTCTCGTCCTGTCTCTTCTTTTCCTCCTCAATCCACCTCTTCCTCTCCAGCTCTTCATGTTCCTTCTTTCGCTGCATGTATTTCTCCTGCTCTTTCGCTTCCTCTTCCTGCGGAATTGACACAAACAATTGAGATTGACGCATGCGAGGACAGCAATGACAATTTACCAATGTTGAGACCCATGCCTCTTATCACAGAACCTGTCAACCTCGGTCAAAAAGAAATAATTCTCTTATTACTTGCAAAAGCAATTTTTTAAAAGTAAAATAAAACCAACAACACAGAGTAATTAGGAAAAAGAGATAATGTCACAGCTAAATCGCAGAATATTGAGTGCCTTTCTATTTAAAAAGTCTGACGACATAAAGAATTTATAAATCTGTCAAACACTGGCATAGCCAGCCCAATGAAGGAATCCTGTCTGACAGTGTTCAAAACTTATAATCCCTAACAACTGATTACGAATAGCACTAAGTCAATGCGCGCGGACCAAAACCACTAATATTTAAGGTGCACCAGAGCATTAATAGGCTATAAAGTGAAAAATTCACAAGCCTGATGAGGAAAACCTTACCAGCTCTATCAGTTTCTTTACTCTTTCTTCTTCCTCCTGCTTTCTTCTGGCGTCTGCCTCCATCTGCTTCTTCAGTCTGATCAGCCAGAGGGATAAAAGGAACACAATTTACTTAAACAGGAAACTTTATCTTTAGTTTTAGTAAGAGTTTACAGAAATTGCAACACAATAAGGACATATAAGTGCTGAAGAATAGATGTGTTACAAGACAGTAACAAACACAAAAAAGGAGGAGAGATCAGGACGATAGATGTTTCATAGGAAAGAAGGAACAAACCACACCAGAGCACTCGCCAACCACTCACTTTAGCACTCACAACACAAATAGGTCTTATAAGATTAGAGGTGTTACTAGGGAGTAACATTACATACAAAGAAAGGAAGGAAAAAATTTGTTTTAGTAGACGTTTTACGGCGCTCGCATCTGCATATGGTCATATGAGCGCCAGAAGATTAGAGGTGTTACAAGAGAGTAACAAACATAAAAAAGAAGAAGGGGAGATAAGGACGATAGATGTTTGATAGGAAAGAAGGAGCAAACCACACCAGAGCACCCGCCAAGCACTCACGAAGGAAAAAAGGTGAGGACAATAGATGCTCGACATGAAAAAAGGAACAAACCACACCAGAGCGCCCATCAACCAGCAACAGCTTTAAAGTCACATGAATATGAAAAGACAAAAATTAGGGGATTGGGTGCTGGGTATAGAGAATCACACCAACTTGATGAATGGTCACTTGGTGCAGAGAAAAGATGAGATAGATTTGATTTAGTAAGAGTTTTACTGCACTAGCAACACAATAAGTTCATATAAGTGCTGAAGATTAGAGGTGTTCAAGAGAGTAACAAGCATAAACAAGAAGAAGGGGAGATAAGGACGATAGATGTTTGATAGGAAAGAAGAAGCAAACCACACAAGAGCACCCGCCAATCACCCACAAAGGTGAGATAGACAGAAACAACAGATGGAAAGAAAAGAAGTAAGACATGCCTGTGGCGCCCTCTAAACATCCACAATAAAAGTCAGCAGCAACAAGACAAATTTTGTACACATTTTACATCTAGAACAGGAGTGCCAAAATGTTGCGATGAGAGCAATCTAAAAAGAAACACATGCAGTAGAAAGTATCAGGATCACAACTCCCTGTAGACAAATCTATAGAACAATCAAAATTTAAAAAGAAAGAAAGATAAAGAAATTACAAGAAAATTTTTTTATGGGAATATGAAATCTCTAAAAATTTCTACATTTAACAAAACATCCAGACACACCAACGAAACTCACCTCATCTTCTGTCTCTCCCTCTCCTCCTTTATTCTTTCTTCTGTCATTTTCGCCTTGAGCACAGCCTTCTCTTCTAACTTCTTGTTGATTCTCTCCTTTTGTTCTTGCTCTTTGCGAAGTTTTTGCTCTCTCGCTTCAGCTACTTTCTTCTCCTTTTCCTCTCTTTGTCTGACAACAGAAAACAGCATTTCAAGCAAGGGACTCAAAAAACTCTTTACTTTATTCTAATGTACTTTTAGTAAGAGTTTTACCGCACTTGCAACACAACGAGGTCATATAAGAGCCGAAGATTAGAGATGTTACTAGAGAGTAACACACAAAGAAAATGAGGAGGAATAGAGTACATAAACGTTTGATAGGAAAGGAGAAAACCACACTAGAGCCCCCAACAACCACCAACAGTAAGAGGTGCTGAAGATTAGAGGTGTTACTAGAGAATAACATACAAAGAAAAGAAGGAGAGATAAGTATGATAGATGTTTGACAGGAAAGAAAGAACAAACCACATCACAGTACCCGCCAACCACCAACTAGATTTGGTAAGAAACATCCCTTCGTCTTCTACCTGAAAAAGTCTTTAAAGCAAACAGTTCATGCTCTCAAATACAAATAAAATATCATTCCCTGTGCATTCTCAGTCGGCAAACAATAACTATCCCCAGAGCTCACAAAATTCAAATAGGTCAATATCCTCATACGATCTTAATCATAACAAGGTATGAACAAGAAGAGATTGCCCACATCCATACAACATGATTTATCCCTTTGTAAAACACTGTTATCAGGGTTGGTGATTTTTTTGATAAAAATTTTAAAAAATCGATTTTTTAAATAAAAAAAACAAATGTCGACACAGTTTGGGATTTTTGGTGGCTAAAAAGTATGTTCTTTTAGTGCAAAATGCATTGTCTTTATTTTAACTAATGATCAATTTAAACAACTGCAATTTTAGAAAGCCTTAATCTGCTATCAGTGAATTATGGCTACAGACAAAAAATGAAGAAAATGTCAGTCTAAAAGGAGGGGGGGGGGGGGGGGGGGGGGGTAATTATGCATAGATAAACTTTCATTTTATTTTTATTACAGTGTGTGTATGTGTGTGAGCATGCGCTTGTGTTTGTTTAAAAAGAAAAAGAAAATGCTAATTTCAATTATGAAAAAAAAGTAAATTGAATACTGTATTATTTTACTACTTTCAGTGACAGGGGGGGAAAGCAGACTTTTAAGCAATTTTAGTCTACTAAACCTTATATCTGTTTTATAAAACCCAGGAAAGGAATTCTGAATGTTTAAAGATGTAAAAACAGAAAACATTTTTTTAAAGTGATTTAAATCTCTGAGTTTTATTTTTAAAATCAAGTTGATTTAAATTTTAAAAAATCAACTGATTTAAATCGACCCGATTTAAATCAACCCAACCCTGGTTTTCAATTATGAAAAAGTATTATTTTACAGTGACAGGTGGGAAAGCAGACTTTTAAGCATGATTATATTAGTCTACTAAACCTTATATCCGTTTAAAATAAACCAAGGAAAGGAATTCTGAAAGTATAAATATGTAAAAACTGAATACATTTTTTTGAAAAGTGATTTAAATTACTGATTTTTATTTTTAAAATCAAATTGATTTAACATTTTTTTTACTCTGGTTTCAATTATGGAAAACCTTATATCTGTTTTATGAAACCAAGGAAAGGAATTCTGAATGTTGAAATGTGTAAAAACCTAATAAAAATTATTTTAAAAAAAAGTGATTTAAATCACTGATTTTTAGTTAAAAAATCAAGTTGATTTAAATTTAAAAAATCAACTGATTTAAATCAACCCAAACCTGACTGTTATCAATAATCATATCGCCGATTGCCAATACAATACATTAGTTTGAATTTGCGTTAAAAGAAGCACACCAATACATAAACAGTCATTAGGTGCGGGGGGAACAAGCAAGACAGACAGACAGAAACAGCAGAGGGAAAGGAAAGAAAGACCTACAAGTGGCGCCCTTCAACCACCACTTCAATAATAAATAAATAATTTTCATTGTGGCCAATCAAACAAAGCCAAGAATCTTTACCTCCTCTGTTCTTCAATTTTCCGTTTTCTCAGTTCAGCGGCTTTCTTCAGTCTTTCTCTGTCCTTTGATTCCTTCTCCAACAATTTCATCTTTTTCTGTTCTTGGATCACCTGAGAGACAGAAACCATGCTGCACACCCGATGTTCCATGTATGGACATTTTTAAAGGCTGCCCCCAAAGAATGTGAGACAAAAAAGACAACCCAATAAGAGAATTTACTTTGTTTTTTGCCAAATATTCAATGAAAATCTAGTTCAGAGAGGAGCAAACCAAACCACATCAAGTACTTTCAAACTCAAGTTTAACGCTTCTGACATTAAAAAATGGATTTCTCAGATTTTTGCCTTAAGGGCGTAGATGAGTCAAATTTATAGCTCAAATTTGTATAATTCATTAATAAGATATAATAAAAGACAAGTTTAATTAGAAGAAAATGACTTCAGTTAAAAATCTATACACATTCGACCTCGGGTCGATTTTCAGCCAATATCGCCTTTCGTACATTGCGAGAAGTACATCGTCTCGTCAGCGTTCCTCACAAATAAAACGAAATCCGTCTAGTTTACCTGGTTGTTCTGCTTTGTGGGCGGTGTATTCCTCTTCAAGAACGAGGTCAGGACATTGTTGGAACGGTAGCTGGGTGTGGCGCTCAGAAAACTGTACACTCGACTGTTCTGTGCAAAGCTAGGCGTGCGATTCAGGAAACCTGAAGTCTTCAACTGTGCGCTGTGGAACTGGAAAGCTCTTGGGCTCTGAAAACAAAAAGAAAAGGATTTTAAAATAGCGACAAACTACTCATTAAAAAGCAAATCCTGATAAAAAACTGAGAACAAAATTCAACATTTCTTTTCAATATCATAGAGCAATACATACAGGGCAAAATTTGGACTTCCCTGTTTATCTGTGATTGTTTCACTATTACAGCATCCTGTTCGTTAGAACCACTCCATCCCCTTTACAAAACTCACCCCAGATCCAATAATAAACCAAAGTAAAATTCAACATTTATTTGTTATCCTAGGACATGTTATAGAAAATCTGGACTATTCTATTAATCTGTGTAATACTCATAATACTAAAACCCCACCAAAATTTTACGCTTTTGGATTTTTGTACAGTGATGAGATCGATAACAACAACAACAAAGTAAAAAAGAGTCAGACACTAATCGAGCCACTTACCCTCCTCGGGGAGAAAGGAGACGTCACATCGTCACGTTCTTCGTCATCATGGCTCTCGCCTCCTGGTGGACCACGGAGTACACAATGTGAGGAAATTGTTTTTGTTTGGTTTTAGAAAGATTTTTGCAAGTGCTGCAACACAAACACCTCATAACAATATATATAAGCCAAGCATAGACGTTCTAGTAAGATTTTTGTAAAACTTGCAACACAAATACCTCATTAAAGCGTAGAACATTATGGGTGTTACAAGACTGTAACATACAAAGAAAAGAAGAGGACAGAAAAGGACGATGGATATTTGATTAGAAAGATGGAGCAAACCAAACAAAAGCATGAGCCAACCACCAATAGCGATAATCTCCGGTAAAGATAAACTAAGTCAGATAGACAGGGTTTACTTTTTTAAACTTTTTGTAAGAGTTCTACCGTACTTGAAAGAAAGTTACGCCAAACAGGTGCTTAAGATAGGTGTTAGGACAAAGAAAAGAAGGAGGAGTGATAAGGATGATACATGTTTGATAGGAAAGAAGGAGCAAACCACGCCCAAAAACCAGCCAACCACCCATATACAATATTCATGATGGTCTCTATCTAAAGAAAGATGTACTAGGTAGCAGACATTGCTCATTGCTACCACCAAAACAAAAGTTACCACAACATTAAATGTGAGTCAAAGCAAATGTGCTACGGTTTGTGTAGATACCAAAAGTGGAAGAGGCAGAATTACGCCTCAACACAAAGACTGATATATGATGTATCAACAAAACTGAGCTTGATCTTGTAACTGCTCCAACAATTGGTCTTACCAATAGACACAAATAATTCACACAAAGAAAACATGCCAATACACTAGGTGAAATCAAATCAATACAAATAATTGCAAATAACTGACAGAAATTTCATCATTTTGAAAGCATAGTTTCGACAGTGTATATATATATAACAACTCTGACTACATATGAACTAAGGTAATATCATGAAATGAATACATTAGACCTGCATGTGAGCCTCAACCAGATTGTCTGAAAATTTTGTGCAACCCCCCCCTCCCCCATAAGAGCTTTTGTGCAGTGTTCTTCCTTATGTTGTTGGGGGGGGGGGGTGTGCCTAGATCCAAGAACAAGCGTCATCAAGTAATTTTTTGAAAAAGTAATTAATGGTAGTTTACGCCCTTTTCGACACTTCTTATCTAATTTAGGAGGCAGTCTGCTTCGACCCTGCTTTGTCAAGGCCGACGCGGGGGAAACCGATACAACATCCCATGGCGCAGCAGACGGACAGAACTCCTAGACAGAAATCTTCCCAACACAGGATTCAAACCCATGTCTTCTGCATACGATGGCAAAGCTTCTCATCTCTTCACCACTGACGCCAGTGGTGACATCCTCTTCTTAGTCTTCTCGAGTACTGCCTAACCATAAACTTGGAGGTCCCACTAGCAAGTTACGGACCGTTCACGTCAGCTAAAATTTGGCCAACAATGACCCCTCCTCCCTTTTCATTTTGTCATCTTCTGTCATCCCCCCCCCCCCCCCCTCCACTTGACGTCAACCAAAATGTACAAGTTAACATATACTTCCAACAAAACGTAGAGACAAACAGTGCGTCAACAAATGTGCCGAATTAAAATTTACACACAGCAAAACTTTTTTTACTTTTAGTCAGTTTTAAGGCACTTGCAACACAATAAGGTCACATTATAATTCCAAGATTATAGAGGCATTACAAGAAAGTTGAGTAGTAAGAAACACAAAAAAGAAAGAGGGATGAGACATAAGGACGATGTTTGATAAGAAAAAAGGAGCAAACCCACAAAACTACACTCAGCTTTTAACACAACAGCAAAAGTGATAACAAAATAACAATGTGCCCTATTCCTTGTGCCAGAAAAGGAACACTCACCTCTAGTTTTGATTGGTGATGATGTTGATAGGGGAGATCTTGAATGCTGAAAACAGAAAAACAAATCGCATTAGACCAATAGCTTCATCAGTCTCCTCTTTAAATATCCAGGAGGGTTCCCCCATTTACCCTTCTTTCATTTCTATCTATCTATATGTTGTACATTACAAAAATAACCCTGGAATTAGCAGCCACAGAGAAGTTTCTCTTCCCTAACCCACAGGCTTTGGAAGTAAACACATAATGTCAGTAGAATAATTTGTTCTGTTGATTTACTAAGAGTTTTATAACACTTGCAATACAATTAAGTTATGTAGTGCCAAAGAATAGTGGTGTTAAAAGAGAATGACAAACAAAATAGAAAGAGGAGAGATAAGGATGATAGAAGTTCGATAGTCAATGATAGCCACTGATGCAATTGCCCTTGGGACTTTGCTTCCTCAGTTTTCTTCAGCATTCACAACTGGCCCCCTCAACTAAAGTCGAATGTTCCGGGGGCAGGGTTTTGTTTTAATTGAAGAATGAGAAGTATATTACAACAATGATGGTCATTTAGTGGTGGGAGAAAGCAAGACAAACAGACAAAAATGAAACAAAACAACCCCCACTCCCTCCTCCCTAAAAGAAAGGATAGAAACGAAGTAAGACCTACTAGAGGCACCTTTCAACCACCCAAGGGCCCAAGGGAAAACAAACAGAAACTTCACAAGACTTAAAGTTTTTTAAATTTGCCTGCAAATTAAATTTTTTAAAATTGCTTTAACCCTATCCGTACGCCGTGTTTTACTATCGTATCCATACAACGTGGGGAACTCGTGCCACCACGATCCGTACGCTTTGCCTAGCAGTCTGTCAAAATGATTTTTCAGAAATACTGAAAGTTTCAAAGAGATCTTCGTCCTAGAAGTATTAAAAAATGTGAAGAATACAACTCCGGGGGTACAAAATGACCCCAGGGCGTATGGATAGGGTTAAAAAATGTACCCCCGCAAATTAAAAAAAAAAAGTTTTCATATCCACAAGAAGGATTCTGTCTGAAACAAAACCACTCACCATATGGTTGGGGTCACCGACGTACGATCTCGATCGCTTGGGCCTGGGAGACAATCCCCTCTCCTGGAGCAGCCGTTTCTTTCCACCGCTGTAAACGAGGAAAGATAAATAGACCGAATGTTAGTGTCATTATATCGAGAGAAAGCCTCTGCCATTAGCGGTCTTTGTTTTCAGTTTGGTAAAAAGTTTTACAGCATTCACAATTGCAAACGGTAATATGAGTGCGTAGGACAAAATAGTTTTGGGGCGACAAAATGTTATTTATCATCATTATTACAGTTTAGCATGCACAGAGCGAACACACACATAAAGAACAAATTTTTAGGTCCCAAGTGTTTTATTACATGTATATATTTTTTGCACTAAAAACACATAGCTCATAGTGAAATTCGTGCATAACAAAAAGAATTCCCCATCAGCCCATTTTCGCTATATATATATATATATATATACAAGCTGGGCCCCCTTCCAATGAAAGGAATGATCGGTGCTTTAATATCAACTAAAAGTATTGGCCTACTATATTTACAGTCTACTGGAATGGGACAATAAATCTTGAGAGATAAGAAAAATTATAAGGTCTAGATCTATACTCTCAAAACAAAATGCGCCTTGCAAAATATCACTTCCGGATTTTCTAAAATTACAAAGACAGAAGCGTCGGCCTACAAAAGCGATCGGCGAAATAAAGAAGTTTAACTTTTTGCAGCAAAACTGTCTCAAAACTGAAAAAACGAAGGGTGCCATGATCTGTGGAATATTTTAAAGAATATTTTGGCGAAAACCGCACGTCGATCGATGCAGCCATTAAAAAGCCTTTTGAATAGCAAAATTCGGCCACCACAAATAGATAATAGATATATGTGCGTGTGAGACTATCAATAATTAAATAAGTACATGTAATACATCGGTGAGGGGGCTCGGTGCATCAGAAAAGCTGTAGAGAGGAAGAGCCAGAAACAGCGACGCATTCTCTCCCGATGATCTCCATGCTAGAGTCCGGGATACGGAGCGTTCCGCTGTGAGCAGTGGATACGGCTGTTTAGACTACGTATATGTGCGTGTGGGACTATCAATAATTAAATAAGTACATGTAATAACTCACCAAGCGTTTTGAGCTTTGGACACGTTGGCCGGGGAGCCAGCCACAACCTCGTCGTCACTTAGCCCGGCTCCCAATCTGTTGTGAGTTGACACAGCGGGTTGTGCCGCACTAGGCTTTGGAACCATCCTGAAAGAAGAAATACTCATAGTTGTTTATGCTTAATTTAGACATGCGGATAACTTTAGAACGACAGATGTACGCCATTGGCCGATATAATTTATAGTAACAACCATCTTGTTTAACGTCATTGCTGGATTCCCACTTTGTTGTCGTTCATGGTGGCAACACGACCGCAAAGCACTATTGTAGTATTTTTAAAGCCTGTAGCCTACAGTGGCGCGGTGGCGGAGTGGTTAGTGCGCTTGTCTCCAAAGCAGAAAGTCCAGGTTCGAGCCTCGGTTCGGCCACGGATTTTTTTTCCTTGCCCATCCACCTCTAATGGGTACCTGACTTCGAGTTGGGAAGTAAAGGACTAATTTAAAAGAAAATTAAATTGTGTATGTTTCATAAATCCATCAAAGTCACGACATCACATGCTTTTTCAGTTAACTTATATATTTTTAAAGAAATATTTATTTTAAAAATTATTCCTTTACTTCCCCAACTCGAAGTCAGGTACCCATTACAGGTGGGTGGGCAGGAGGGGGCGGAAAAAAAATGCGTGGCCGAACCGAGGCTCGAACTTGGACTTTCTGCTTTGGAGACAAGCGCACTAACCACTCGGCCACCACGCCGCTGTAGGCTACAGGCTTTAAAAATACTGCGATAGTGCTTTACGGTCGTGTTGCCACCGTAAACGACAACAAAGTTGGAATCCCTCAATGACGTCAAACAAGATGGTTGCTACTACTATAAATATCGGCCAAAGGCATACATCTGTCGTTCTAAAGTTATCTGCATGTTTAATTTAGTATAGTATTTGTAAGAGTTTAAGGTTTACGGAAATTGAAAATAAGTCACATAAGTGCCAACGATTAGAGGTGTGTTACTGGAGAGTAGCATACAAAGAAAAGAAAGAGGAGAGCAGATAAGGACGATCTAGTTCTTTTTATAGAGGGGTGGGGCGGGGGAGTGAGACACACACACACACACTACATAGAAGGTTCTGTCAATAAATAATTGTGCTACATGTAAGTAAAAGGCAAAGGGGAAAAATTCAAGCCTTGTTAATTCAAGTCCAAAATAAAAATGAAGTGTCACACGAAACAAGAACAACATCTCCCCCCCCCCCCCTCCAAAAAAAAAGGAAGCAGAAAAAACAACACCCCTTCCTCCAGCCCCCCCCCCCCCCCAAAACCCACAAGACAAAAAAAACCAAACCCAAGACAAAAGGATAGTTTAGTTTTAGTAAGGTTTTACGGCGCTCACAACTGATAAGGTCATACGACAGGAAGGAGGATGTATGGCCACATGAATAAACCACTGGTCAAAGATCCAATCAATGAGTTGAGGAGGGGAGATCAATCCATAATCTTCCAACTTAGAACACAACATGTACCCCTCAACCAACATCTCAACCGAATTGGAGTAAAGCGGTCTGCTGCCTGCCCACTATGTGACTACCCCTCAGAGACGGTGGAACATCATCTGTTTTTCTGTAGAAAACTAATTGATTTAAGGGGATGTTTTCTTCCCAAGCTACCCCACACATCTAATTGCCTCTACTCCTCAAGACAACAGTTAGAACAAACATGCAACTATTACCGAATGGCATCATGCAGAAGAGTTAACGCTCAGAAGCTACTGGATCGCTAACAACAACAACATAAGGTCATATGAGCACAAAGGGGTTGAATTTAACAAAGAAATCCAAACGGGGAATCAGGCTTACTCTGCTCACCTCTCAAGCCTCAACAGAATAAAGTCCGCTTTGACTATCAAGGCACCCCAGAAATAGCAGTGCAAAGAGAGGGACAAACATACAAAAGAAACAGGAAAAATGACGATAGCAAGGATGAGGAAAGAAAAAGCAGCAGTTCCCTCTATGTTGTTCCGGCACAGTATGAGCATGACAAGATAAATCAGCCCATTTACAATTCTACTGTGCATAAGAACATGTTTATATATCTCACTTTTGACGAAAGGCTAAAGAAAAACTCACAACGACTCCACCAGGAGGGCATTGACTTCAGCTTTCTTCTGTCTGGTCCTGGTCCTAGTGCTGGGCTCATCCGATTGGTTCTCAGCTGGCGCCGCCTCTTCCTTCTCCTTCTGGGCGCGGGTTCGCGTTCTTGTCGACCGCTGAACAGGAGACGAATCTTCAGTAGACGCCGCCGCTTTCGCGGGAACATCTTCTCCCTTTTCATCACGATTTCTCGTTTCTTTTTCGCCGTCGTCCACTTTGGCATCATCACCCAACGCCTGCTGTTTCACAGCCCTGGCTCGCGTCCTTGTCGACCTCACGGGGGGCTCCTCTTGTTGAGGTTCTGGGCTGCTGTCTTTCGTGAAGGTCGAGTTGACCTTGCTGGCCGCTGGCTGAGCCTTTGGCGGCTCCTCCATTGTGCTGACAGACATCAGAGACTCCATTTCTTTCTGCTGCACCCTCGTGCGCGTGCGTGTGGACCTGCCCACTGCGGGGGCTTGTTGGGCGTTGTTATGGCTCGTGCTGTGATTTCCAGAACCACTGTTGTTATCATTATTCTCCTCTTCCTCCTCCTCTTCTTCTTCCTCATCGTCTCCGTCGTTGAAGCCCTGATCGCTGGACAAGCACGTACCGGATCCTGCCGCCGAAGCCGGAGTGGACGAAGCAGTGGTCAGAGCAGCAGCGGTGGTGGTGATGGCTATCACTGCTTTCACCGGAGTCGTCTTCGTCTGGACTTTCTCATATTCTTTCAGTCGGACCGCCTTGTCCTCAATGTCAAACACCTCGGTGACAATTATCTCCGTCTCGTTCATGACGTCGCGCGCCGGGGTAGGAGGCTCAAATTTCACCTCCTCCTCCACTTCCTCCGCTGAACAAGAGTCTGCTTCACTTGACTCTACGACATCCGCGGGAACGTCGCCAGAACCCTCCGTTTGAACAGGAGTCCCAGCCGAGCGCTTTTCCTTTACATTCTCTGATTTGTCTGAAGTGTCCATTGGTTCATCCTGACAACAAAAAAAAAAAAAAAGAAAAGGATTGTAGTACTTGAATGGACCAGTATGTGTGCAATGTCTGAAATGTCAATTTACATCACATTTTATTGCTAAGCTCATAGAACCATCAGGGAAAGGGGGTTATAGCAATGATCTTTATGAAAAATATATGAATAAATAAAAGTAAACACCCAATTCACAAAGGACTCAGATGAACAGATGATCAAGGAATATCATTATTTTATCAACTAAGAGAAAAACATCATCCAAGTAAGTTTTTTACTGTCCTGAAAGACAAACACTTCAGTCCTGATCTTAGGGCAGTCTAGTTCAGCTGTAGGACATTAAATACATTTGTGATCGAAAAGTTCCGGGTTTGACTCCTGGCTTAGCTCAATAATAATAATAATAAATAACATTTGTGAGGCAGCGTGGTGGAACCAGGCTCTCGTCAATTTTTGGGCATGTAGAGTTATTGGTATCATCTTAAAGCTTGTTCACTTGCCTTTATTTGGATGAAAAAAATATCCATTTATCTTGAATACAAGTCGAGATATTTGCGAATGAAGGAGATGGAGGTCACCTGTTTTCAGAGGTAAAATTTGTGAAAAAATGGCTGTCAAAGATTAGTTATTTCCTTAGTTTAAGAGTCCGTGGTAACTGAAAATTTACATTTTTTGGTGCCTTTAAGCGACGTCTTTAGAAAAATCCAAAGCAGAAATGAGTTCTTTAAGGGGCATGAAATGTGTTGGGCCAAAAATCAAAATTCAATAAAAAATTCCCAAACTTGCGGAAAAAAGCAAGTTTCATGACTTTCATTGTTTTGACGAGCGCCTGATTTCACATTTTATAGCGCATTTCCAAAAAAGTAGCTCAATGCACTTTACATTGAAATACCCATTTTCAAAACCTTTCTTACTACTTCCTTTCTTCTCATGCAATATATAAATGCACTCACACACACACAATAACACACTGTATAAACAGAAAGATTATTTGACCATGACTTAGTCACTAATGGATGCTGGTCAATCAGAAGAGGAAAATATATTTCGTTTTTGTAAAGTGTTTTGCGGCGCTCGCAACTGCATAAGGTCATATGAGCGCGCGGGACACACTTAATATTTTCAGTTGGTAGGAAATTCTGAAATTTGCCCGGGTGGCGGCCGAAGCCTACTCTTATCGATTTTAGACCACCAAGGGATCTTTAACGTGCGCAACTTGCACACTGGCCCTCCGAGATTTTTCGCCCTTGTCCGAGAAAGCTAGGTGTAGATCTTTCCTACCAGAAGATCAGGGGTGTGGCTGAAAGACAGCAGTAAGAAGAAGCGAAGGAGTAGCAGTAGAAAGGCTGCAGAAAGAATCAGGAGCCCAGAGGAAGGGGCAAAGGAGGTGAGGGGGTGGGGGAAGAAGGAGACGAAAGCAGACGACAACATTGCTAGAGAGCAGGAAATGAGGTGAAAGGGGACAAATTTAGAGAAGAAAATTTTTCTGTCGCTACCCGGATTCGAACCCGGGACCTTTTGAATGAGAGACCAACACTTTAACCTCTAGGCCACGAGAGCCCCCGGAAAATATATGAGAACGATAGGGATGCGCATTTAACTTGTTATATTGCTGTAAGTCCCTCAATGAAAGGGAGTTATTTTGAAGTCGCAAGAGTGGGGGACACTACAATTAATATATATATACTCTTTTAAAAAATCCTGATTTCTGCCACATTGTACCATAACAGAAGTGAACCCAGTTCAAAGTCTCAAAGCAAATGAGGAAAAAAAAAAGAAATAGGCTACTGTTTTTATATATATAGTGGGGGTTTTTTAAGCAACAATTCCATTCATCAATAAAAAACCAAGCTTAAGAAAAAGTTGAGTTACCTCTTTTTGTTGTTTCTTCAAACGTAATCTTGTTCTGACAGGCTTCTTAACCCCTGACTTCTGGGGAGAACAAAAAATTAATAAAATTGAGAGATTGTAAAAGCACAAATGCAAGAGAATAGTTTCTATTTTACAGAAAGAAATACGTAAATATATAACAGCACAACCCAGACAGAGCCCTTGAAACAGCCGTTCATAAAGCAAAAACATGCAGGTTTTGAACACAATGAGAAATAATGGACTAATGAAAATAGTTCGAAGAAGACTAAGACTAAGTTCACACTGAGCTCAGTCAGTTGCTGGCAGCAGCCGTCAGCAGCCAGCTGGAATCTGTCATTACACCATAATCTTCTTTCCCACCATGAAAGCTGGTGATACACGTTCAGGCTGGCCGCCAGCACTCGCTATTTGCCGTCAGCCAGCAATTTGCTTAGCCGTGTGCACACAAAACAAAAGGCTGGATGGTCCAATGGAAGTTATTTCCCACTATACCAACAGAGTGAATGTCCTTGATTCGCAGTCAATTCCCCGCAAAATGGACGAAGAGAAGCATATCATAACTGTCCAAAGGAGAACGGTGATAAGCGACAAAGAGGAAAAAAACTATCACAACCGAGATTATATCATAATAAATGCCACTTGGGAAGGCATTGGTTAAGCAGATCTTGAAAGGCCTCTGGTTTTATCCATATGAAATCAACACATTTCTGGGTATAGTCCATTTACTTGAGGAATCAAATGATGGTATTCCCAATGCACGCCACGATTGCGGTGAATTGGGTGAACACTATATTTCCGAGAATTCTGTTTCAATAATAGGTTCTGTAAAACCCAACACAGCAATATAATTCGTTTCTTCCTCCAAAAAAGCGCCATGGTTTTTTTTCTCCAAGTGAGGCATCAATTTGGCGGACAGTAACGGCCGGCTCTACCGTATACACTGCATGGCAGAAAGTTGCTGATGGCAGCTGGCTGACGACAACTAGCCGGGTTTAGCGTGAACATAGCCTTAGAGGAAGAATGAAACAGAAAGAGAGCTGAGAAAGAAGATGATGTGAAAGTAAAGATGGAAAAATTTGACCATAAGGCAGGAAGCTGGCTGAACGCAGTACCACAGTCTTTTCCAATGACAGATCCACTGAATATATATATATATATATATATATATATATATATATATATATATATATATATGTTAAAATAAAATTGCCTCGGCAGTTTAAAGATACCAGCTTGTTCAGCCAAATTTTTAAAGTAAAATCTCTGCCTCAAAACGATAAACTGGCCAATTCAAATAATTAAAGAGTATCTTTGAAAACCTGGCAGCCACAAAAGCTATAGCAATTGCACTTTATCTAACACAAAAACAGTCAATAAACAAGAATATGTTTTGCATTGTGGATTGAGGAACCTACAGGCGACTGTTCTCCTCAACCCACATCTAAAAAAATAGAGCATCAATTATATGACCATGTTTCGAGAAAGTACCTTCTCATCCTTTGACATCTGTTTGCCGGAGCTGCTGGACTTTCTGTGCTGAGACCTGCGGGAAAGCCTGGATCCAGACGACTTGGACGATTTCCGTTTGCCACCAGAGCCAGAGCCGGTGATGGGCGACTGAGACATCCCAGCATCCTCTTTCCGAGACACCTTCGAGGAGCTCACTGGCTTGCCACAGCTGCCGGGCGTGCCCGCTTTCACGAGCTTCACGGGGCTGTTGCTGGTACGCTGCTTCAGCATGGTTTCATAGGCGTTGGCCCGATCCTTCACGCTGGGGCTCCAGTCTTCCCCTGCAGTATCCTCACCGCAGACGTCAGACTTGGCCAGGTTCGACGTTAATTTCACCCTCGCCGCAGGAGGAGGCACGTTTTCATCGTTCGACACCGTAGCAGCGTCAGTTGACGAAATTATAGTGTTCTCACTTTCGGACTTAACCACTGCATCGAGATTAGCACTGGAGGTTTCTTGTTTCTTGTTAGCAGCCCTACGGCTCTGCCTTGTCGCCCGCGTTGTTTTGGGGCTTTCCTGTTGATGGACGACCTTACTGCACTTGCGCGTCGGGCGTCCTGTATTTCTTGGCTTCTCTTCCTCTGCCTCCTGAACTTCCTCGCTGAAAATAAAGTACAAAAAAAGTCTGTTACCCTGCCATGCGGAAACAGTCCAAAGTCTTCATGATCACACAACATCACAACAAGATTTAAAAGATTATGAAAATACTTATTGCAAACAGTCACAAAGTGTTACTCCTATTTCCCATAGAAGAGAGATGGTGATGGGACTTCTGGGACAGACTGATATTCTTGCACTGGAGGCCTCTGTGACATGTATTATGTATACAGTATTGCCCAAGTACACTTGACAAGACAGGACAGTTTTAATTTGAGTAATGACAAACACATTGATACAGTGGTGGTCGTTGAGGGCAGGAAAAAGTGATTGATACAACAGGGGGAGAGGCAAAGAAGAAAAAACTGCCAGTAGAACATTCCATTCTAACCATATGCAAGAAGGGGGGGAAGGAAATGTATCTGTACCAGCATCTCTACTGCGGTAGATTGAAATAATACTAATGGTGCCAATTTCCTACTCCTGCTCCTACGGGTCCAAATTTCAGAGCCAGAAATGAGTAGCATTTTTGGGATAAATTATCTTTATTCAATATATGCATTCAAATACTCATGTGCTACTGAAGTTGAAACTCCATTTAAGGACCAAAAAAAAAAACATTCATTCAAGTCTGATGATAACTCCAATAAAATGAAATTTCCTTTTTTTTCAAACAGACCTTCCAGTTCTGACTTACATTTTCTTCTGAAGCCACACTTAGAGCAAAGAAAATAGAATCACCCCCCCCCCACTTCATTCATTAAATTGAACTAAAAACCAAAGAGGTAGCTTACCAGGTAAGATCAAATTTAAGTTGGGTCGGTTTACTCTTGACGGTGCGGGAAACATTTCCATCTTCAAAGTCTTCCTCGATCACGGGCTCATTCTTCCTTGTTCGCTTCTGTGCTTTTTGTTTCAAAGATGGAGTCTTGGGCAACTGTTTTAATTTGGGGCTGGCAAAAACAAATTTCAAACATTCTTATCATGACACAAAATGGACAATCAGGCTATATGAAGTGGTAATATAAGGAGAAAGTGTAATTTTATAAAACATAGAGGAAAATCTTAAGGCACAAATCTTCACACATGACATCTTTAGGATAAAAAAACAACTTATGTAGTTATTATAATTATATTGCCATGAAACAACAGAAATTATCTCAAACATTAAGATTTACATAGTCTAAAAAACATGAAAGCACTGACTCTGTTCTAGAGGCATTACTAGCATTCTAAACATCTACACTCTAACCATTGGCAGCTACAAATAATTTAATGTGAAAACCATAGAGCATCCAGAGAATTTTTATGCGTTCATACGGAGTTGGTATAAACTTATTCTGAATATTTAAAGTAAAAAAGACAATGCATAAAAGTATAAAAACCTCATGCAAGCTGAAATTTAAACATACAATGATTCAAATTAAATCTTTACATATTGTGCTCATATAAAAAAAAATATATAAAAGGAAGGTACCTGTCATTGGCATATGACTTCGAAGCTTCTTCTACGATTTCTTCCACAAACTGAAAGCCTTCTCTGATCTCTTCCAGTTTTTCCAGCAGATGGTCATGACACAGTCGCTCGGTCGCAGCCACAAGAGACAGGCATGCAGCAGGAAAGTCTGCAAACCACACAGCTGAGTTCGCCATGGCCAGAGCCCTTAATGAATGACTCTCAGACCTCCAAATATCCACCTGCTAAATTTAAACTACACACACACACAAAAAGAGAGTAAAAATTCAGGAATTAATTTACAATATAATAGAAGAAAAAAAAAGGTGTATTTAAATACACTGAGTCGTAATTTTGCTTGTCCAACAGTACCAGATTCTACAAGAAAAAAGCTAGGATGATTTCCTAAATCTTTAAATGTAGTCCAGCCTCATCATATTCATGGTCGTATTATATTATAAATATTATAATATAAATTTGTTGTTAAAATTAAAGAGAGACAAAAATAATGAAACCTTGTCAGGGAAACGTATAAAATTCAATTGCATCTTATGTTAATTTGAAATCCTTAATATTATTATTTTAAAAGCAAGTGAAGGATAACTGTTCTATAAGATCTAGATGTTTGATAGAAGAAGGAGAAAGGAAGCAGCAAAGCAAAACATCAGAGCTACTCTGCAAAACATCCAAGGAGTAAGGAAGGGGCTTTTCTAGGCAGGCTATCACTTAGACTTCACTACAAATAAATCGATCGAAGCGACTATTTCTCCGAACGTTAGGGAAAATAAACTTGAACTCTGTTTCTCCGAACTGTTTCCATTCTCGAGATTTTTTGGTTATTTGCGAGAGTTCGGGGTCATCTTTCATTCTGCAAGGACAGGAAAGAAACATTTTTGAAAATAGAGTTCAATTTCTAGAGCTAGAGGTTTTTAGATATCTGAAAGTTCAGATAGTTCAATTGTGGTTGGGGCAACGTTCCCGGACTACGAAGTTGCGAGAAAACAAGACTGCTCGATTTTGGTAGTAACATATTTCGCATTTAGTCACCCGCCTAAAGCAAATCCTGTATCACAAAAAATCCCTCTACTCATATTGTACGCCCCC